ATATTCTAATTTTCTGATATGCTGAATTTGAGATTTTCATTTGTTGTCATTTGTAATCATCAAAATCATTTGAAATATATGAGTTTGTATGTAATGTATGAATATAATATACAAGTTTCACTTTTTAAATGGAATTACTGAAATAAATCTACTTTTTCATGATATTCTAATTTTATGACCAGCACCTGTAGTTGTAATTACTGTTTGTTAGTCCAAAAGCCTATTACAGCCTTCAAATTAAATATTTATTTACCAAAAAATATATAATTGTAAATATAATCTGAGGCCCCTGAAAAACTTAGTTACTTAGTTAAAAACGAAGCGGCATCAAACACTGTCTGCCYCTCCGCAGGTGCATTGACGAGGCAGTCTGGCTGCTGCAGAGTGGAGTCACTGAGCTTCCAACTTTCTACAATTAAAGTAAGTTTCTCTAGCTGATGTTTTAACACACAACAGTAAAGTCAACTTATGTTTGCAATGAATGAAATATCTGCTTAGTGTCCAACGTTCATGGTGTAATGACGACAGTGACTTGGTGTTAGCTCATATCCATATATCCATAGTTAGTTTTGCTTACAATAAGCACGGTAACAGTTAGTGAAAAGTTAAGATATAAAAATAAGATTCCGGGTTTGCTTTTTTAGGATCTGCAGTTTCACTGATGCCTTGATCCATATCATGGCAATGAGGCACAATTAAACCAAGTTACATTTGTTTGCTCAGGTCAGGAAAGTTAATAAGCTGCCATGATAAAGATGTACGCTATGATAATTTTTCAAAATCTTGATGCTTGTACATTGAAGACCAAAATGAAAAGGAAATTTAAAAGTGGAGATACTGATGGGTTTTTTTTTTTTCAAAAAAGCAAAGGATGAGAAGGAAGAAGACACTGTGAGAGATGAGAAAGGAATAATGATAGGGACCAGGAGGGTCACAGATGAAGAAGCCCACTGAAAGTGCAACAGGTGAAGAAGTGAGTCAAGATGAGGAGAGTGATATCAGCATAAGTGGTGAAGATGAGAAGATTTCAGAGCYAATAAATCTACAAACGTGAATAAATCTACAAACATGTTTTGTTTCGTTTGTTGTGGTGTTGCTCTTACGTAAGAGCTTGTATGCTGTATCATGGTGACCAAGAACACCAGGAGGACCAGGAGGACCAGGATCAGAACGAACAGGAACACGCTGTCTAGTAACTGGATAAAGAAAATAATAAAATGAAAGTATGATGTGTATCTGTAAAACCTTGGAACAATAGTAAATTGGTTTTCATGCTGCAAAATGCCTTCAGATGAAACACCTTAATGAGTCCTTGTTAGTCAATTTATGTTACGGTAAACCAATCAAAATTTAGTTTCTACATTTGGAAATATAAATTAACAAAATATTTCTACTAAGATTTTTCAAATGATGCAAAATATGTAATATGCCTATCTGTTTTTTACATTATAAAATAAATATACTGTATATACTGTATGTTTCCAGGAACGTTTGAGTAGTTGATTTCTACAAAATACAAAAAGCTGTTTGGGTTCTGATTTCATTTCATATTTGTTAGTAAAACATGTACATACTACACACCTGATGATGTTTTTCCCAATACTAAAAAACAAGAGAAAAGTCATTGTTTATCTGTTGTATCAAAACAAAAGATGTTATAGTTTTGTGTCATTCATTACTCATTTACTTTTGTTAACCCTTTGGGATGAGCCCCTTAAAAAGGTTCGACTAGAAGATGTACGAGTTTTGGATTGTTGATCCTCCCCCTCCTTTGGTTTGTGAAGAACTTGTGTGTTCTCTCCCTCAGGCTTGGTGACCACCATTGATGTGAGTGGGGTCACAAAGTTGTACATCAGAGAAAGCTCCAAAATATCTTTCTTCACTTTGTCCTTCTCAGGTCCAGAAAACAGCAACCTAAATCACAACATAAAACAGCAACTTACAACACACCGTAGGTAAGTAGGTACTGTAAGTACAGTAGGTCAATTTGAACTGTACACTTTATCAGGTGCACTTGGTCCATTGCTTGTTAGCACAAATAGCCATTGAATGGCAGAAACTCAATGTTTTTAGGCATGTGGGCATCATGAAGATGATTTGCTAAAGTTCCAACCTAGCATTGGAATGGTGACATCAGTCACTTTTGGTGCCAGATGGACTGATCTACGGGGATTTTTAAACACAAACATCTTATATATATA